TGTACTTTTGGCACCGCTGCTTAATGGGAAATTTATTAGCTTGACATTGAAATGAGGGTGAGACATCAGGAGCTTTACATAGTCAACATGTGGATAAGAGCTGGAATTGTTCACAGTATTTCATATATGTAGCTTTCAGTTTAACGTCAACTTGTTACCCCTACCTGTCTGTCCTCCCTGCTTTAATGGGATATCACATGTTTGTTTGAATGGTAAAATTGGCTAAGGTGCCAACATCTTCTGGATAGATACTCAAGATTGTGCTGATTAGTTTTTGAACCAAGAAGGAAGAAAAACAGAGCCCCGTATTAAAAAAATGTCACTTTACCTTATAATGGGCTACTTCCTCTCTGTCGACTGGCTGTGTGACATACAAACTGCCAGTGTCTCTATCCATGGTGAAAAGGGCAACAGGAGGCTGATCAGCTCCTGGACCAGTGATGCTGTAATGTAAATTCTGCTTTTGATGTTCATCAGACCGTATCTAAACAAAACACACCAGGATTAGACTACAGTTATAATATTGCACAACAACTATTGTAAAGCAGTTGTGCAGAGGTCTTTAGCTGTACTTTTTTTTAAACAGTTATTATTAGCCCATTATTAGTTTTAACAAATTTTACGTAATACACCATGGACATAAAAAAAAAAAAATACATAATGATAAAACAGAAAACAAAACAAACCATAACAGAAGGTAAGGGCAGATATACAAATCAAGTTAGCACTTCAAGCTGTTAAGTCCACAGTGTATACGTTACAGTTCTCCAAAAAGCTGTAGAATTTTGACCATATAGACCAAAACTTGTCCAGTTTATTTCTTAATGCATAAGTTATTTTCTCCATAGTTAGTATAGATGTCAGTCCATTAAACCACTGAGATAGTCCACATATTTTTTGATTTTTCCAACACACAGCAACACAGCGCTTGGCTTCCAAAAGTTGATCGTTAACAAAGCTCTATTGTTTGCAGCAAGTACAAATTTATTTGTGTATATATTTTAAAATACATATGTTGGGATTGAGTGGAATCACATCACCAATGATTGGACTTAACAGATTTATTACCTTTTCCCAAAAATCTTTCACATGTGGACACTCCCATATACAGTGAAATAAAGAACTCCTATCCACTCCACACTTAATACAGGTGTCTGGGATGTTTGGGTTAAAATGATGCATTTTTGATGGAGTAATATATTGTCTTGTTAACCATTTATGTTGAAGTAGTTTAGATTAATTGTCTGACTCTGGGCCAAGGAGCATGATTTATACCAATCGTCATC